GCATTCTAGGAATCGAAATAAAAAACTTTTAAACGATTCCGGGAAAAACCAACAGTTGGTCCTGGTTCCAGTCGATGCTCGATGCCCAACCCTAGGGCTGAGGAGTAGGGCTAAAGTGTCATCACTCACTTTGGTCTGGTCCAGACGCCGTCTCTTTACCGGTGGGACTCCTTCCTCAGAAGGTGACGTGAAGCTCCAACATCTGAGCGTTCTGTGTTCCTCAGGGGAGAAGAAAAGTAACATTAGCAAGCTAGTTAAATTATTTTTACTAGCATCTCAAGGCCTTGGACAACCAAATGTTAAACATCAGACGAGAGTTTGTCTCTGATCAGTTATTGTCAGCTGGCAAGTCTAGTTTCTGTAATGGAAGACGGTGTTTTTGTTTTTTTCTGTTTTCCAGTGAATCGATTTCAAACCCTTGTTTGCATAAAGCAAAGATTTGTATTGTCAGGTTGAAGAACGGTACAAAGTCACATGGGCCTACCTATACCTGAAACCTGTTTTCATTCATGAGTCCAACACTGAGCAGTGAGTCTCCCACCCACTAATGTCGTGTTTGTTTTGCAGTCGGTGTCCGGCGATGGTGAAAACGCACGGGTTCGCATTGCAGAGCTGGAAGAAGAAGTTCAGACTCTGAAGAAAGTCAACAAAGATCTGTTTGAGTTTTCATCTCAGCTCCTCACAAAACACACGTAAACACACATGTTCAAACATCTGTTTTTACAAAATAAAAGTCCTGGTGTTAAAAGAATAAAATCATTGTTTTGGAACAACTCCCTGTTTGAGTTTGGTTCATTCATTCATACCAAAGACTATTCTAGCCTATTTGTGGGAGTGCTGAGGCGCCCAGCAGCCCTAAAATCAGAGGTAACACCCCCCATCACCACAGTCACAGCAACGTTCCCCCCGCAAGCTAAAGCAGAGTATGGAGTGAAGGGACCCTGCTATGTGAGACTGCCCCCTCTCTGAGGCACCGCATGGCGATGGAAGCCGCTTCTGCCCGCCAGGACGGTGACAGGACGGCCAATTCCTGCGCCGGCTCCAAACCCCCAGCAGAGTGGTTGAGTTCGATGGGACGGCCTGCTAGCCTACCGAGACCGACAGCCCGACATGGCCCTTCTGTCAGTGCTCCTCCTCAGGAACATCCACACACGACACTGACTCAGTGACGTAGGAGACGGATTTAATGCGACATGACCGTTCAGACTGCAGTCGCTATCAGAAACATCAGATATGTGTCGGAATCAGTACCACATATCCATGTGACACGGATCGTATTTTAAAAAGTCTGATTTGTGCGTTGAGACGGTCATAAATACATCTGATATGGCTGCATGTGGGGGGAAAAGCCTGCAGTGTGAACATAGCCTTGGTGTCCTTTTCTAAAGTGTGTGTGTGTGTGTGTGTGTGTGTTGGGGGGGGGGGGGTATGAACAAATTAGGTCATAGTAATTTACTTATAAACCTGTGATGTTTACGTATGAGAGGTCTGTAATGGGTAATTGGTATTATACCACACGGTTCTCTCTTGGTTTTGTGTTGAGAGATTTAATAGGATGAGCTGATATGTCGGGGAGAAGGCCAGCTCAATTGCGAGTTATTTTGACTACTGATGACGCTAGAAAGGTACATCTGCCTGATGGATTTCCAGAGACAATGGAGCAGCTCTTGGATGACATAAAAAACTGCATGGTTTTAAGGGGAATATAAGACTGCAATACCAAGACAAAGACTTTACAGATGCACTGGTGAACTTGACATACAGGTGCTGGCCAGTAAATTAGAATATCATCAAAAGGTTGAAAATATTTCAGTAATTCCATTCAAAACGTGAAACTTGTACATTATATTCATGCAATGCACACAGACCAATGTATTTCCGATGTTTATTACGTTTAATTTTGATATTCATAAGTGACAACTAATGAAAACTCCAAATTTGGTATCTCAAAAAATTAGAATATTCTGAAAAGGCTGAATATAGAAGACACCTGCTGCCACTCTAATCAGCTGATTTACTCAAAACACCTGCAAAGGCCTTTAAAAGGTCCCTCAGTCTTGTTTTGAAGGCACCACAATCATGGGGAAGACTTCTGACTTAACAGCTGTCCAAAAGACAATCATTGACACCTTGCACAAGGAGGGCAAGACACAAAAGGTGATTGCTAAAGAAGCTGGCTGTTCGCAGAGCTCTGTGTCCAAGCACATTAACAGACAGGCGAAGGGACGGAAAAAATGTGGTAGGAAAAAGTGTACAAGCTCTAGGGATAACCGCACCCTGCAGAGAATTGTGACGACAAACCCATTCAAAAATGTGGGGGAGATCCACAAAGAGTGGACTGCAGCTGGAGTCAGCGCTTCAAGAACCACCACGAGGAGACTCATGAAAGACATGGGATTCAGGTGTCGCATTCCGTGTGTCAAGCCACTCTTGAACAAGAAACAGCGCAAGAAGCGTCTCGCCTGGGCCAAGGACAAAAAGGACTGGACTGATGCTGAGTGGTCCAAAGTTATGTTTTCTGATGAAAGCAAGTTCTGCATTTCCTTTGGAAATCAAGGACCCAGAGTCTGGAGGAAGAGCGGAGAAGCACAGAATCCACGTTGCATGAGGTCCAGTGTAAAGTTTCCACCGTCAGTGATGGTGTGGGGTGCCATGTCATCTGCCGGTGTTGGCCCACTCTGTTTCCTGAGGTCCAGGGTCAATGCAGCCGTCTACCAGGAAGTTTTAGAGCACTTCATGCTTCCTGCTGCTGACCAACTTTATGGGGATGCAGACTTCACCTTTCAACAGGACTTGGCACCTGCACACAGTGCCAAAACCACCAGCACCTGGTTCAAGGACCATGGTATCCCTGTCCTTGATTGGCCCGCAAACTCGCCTGACCTTAACCCCATAGAAAATCTATGGGGTATTGTGAAGCGGAGGATGCAATACGCTAGACCCAACAATGCAGAGGAGCTGAAGACGACTATCAGAGCAACCTGGGCTCTCATAACACCTGAGCAGTGCCACAGACTGATCGAGTCCATGCCACGCTGCATTACTGCAGTTATTGAGGCAAAAGGAGCCCCGACTAAGTATTGAGTGCTATACATGCACATTCTTTTCATGTTCATTCTTTTCAGTTGGCCAACATTAGAGAAACAAACATTTTTTCATTGGCCTTTAGAATATTCTAATTTTCTGAGATACCAGATTTGATGTTTTCATTGGTTGTCACCTATAAATATCAAAATTAAACGTAATAAACATCGGAAATACATTGGTCTGTGTGCATTGCATGAATATAATGTACAAGTTTCACGTTTTGAATGGAATTACTGAAATATTTTCAACCTTTTGATGATATTCTAATTTACTGGCCAGCACCTGTATATGAATTTGATGGTCTGGCAACTGTCAGTCATTCCCATAACTGACTGGCCAAGAAGATAATCCACCAGTCTGTGATGAGTCTTTACATTCAGATGACACAGAACTCTTATCCTCACCCTCCAGCTCAGTCTCCAAGAACCCAGATGTGGCCAAGAGAGTTTCCAATACCACATTAACTTATGACAGAATTAAAGCTGGAAACGGAAGGGAACACACTCTTTAGGTCAAACATAACAAGGCCGACACTGTTCAACGACTCGTGGATTCTGCCATGAGGAGGCCTACCTATCCTGGAAAAAATAGTCTTGTGCTTTATAAAAATAAGCTTCGACAAACTAGAACTGCTTATTTTTCAGCACTAATTGAGGAGAATAAGCATAATCCTAAATTTCTTTTCAGTACAGTTGCTAAACTTACACAGAATCATAGCTCTGAGCCATCTATTCCCTTAGCCCTCAGCAGCAATTACTTCATGGGATTTTTTACAAGTAAAATTAATTCTATTAGAAACAAAATCTTTAGCATCCTCCCTAATGTGTTTTCTTCTTCCTCAGTAAGTGAGGCAGCATCAGAGGTGACTGTAGAACCTCATCTGTGCTTGAACCGTTTTGATCCAGTTGAGCTTTCAGAGTTATCAAAAATATTAGCTTCATCTAAACCTTCAACTTGCATTTTGGATCCAATCCCAACCAAATTATTTAAAGATGCATTTCCTTTGGTTACTGCCCCCATTCTAGATATAATCAATCTATCCTTAGTAAATGGGTATGTACCACAAGATTTTAAGGTTGCTGTGATCAAACCTTCAATTAAGAAGCCTTCTCTGGATCCAGATGACCCAATGAATTATAGACCAATATCTAACCTTCCATTTTTATCCAAAGTCATGGAGAAAATTGTGGCCATCCAAGTATGTGAGCATTTAAACACCAATGATCTGTTTGAGGAATTTCAGTCTGGTTTTAGAGAGTATCACAGCACTGAAACTGCATTAGTGAGAGTTACAAATGATATTCTCATGGCCTCAGATAAGAATCTTGTGTCTGTTCTAGTCTTGTTAGATCTCAGTGCTGCCTTTGACACAGTTGATCACAATGTTCTTTTAGAAAGACTTGAACATGTTGTAGGGATCAAAGGAACAGCGTTAGGCTGGTTTAAATCCTACCTGTCTGACAGATTTCATTTTGTAAATGTACATCAGGGGCAGATTTAGGACTGAAGAAGATCCGGGGCTTAGCACACACACTGCAGCCATTCATCATGTTTATGTTTATTTATTTAGCAGACGCTTTTATCCAAAGCGACTTACAGTTTATAACCTGTAGGGCATGTTGTGATCTGTGGGGAAACCGGAGTACCCGGAGGAAACCCACGCATGCATGGGGAGAACACGCAACTCCACGCAGAAAGGCCGCAGCCGAGTTTAGAACCTACAACCTTCGTGCTGCGAGGCAACAATGCTTAACAACTGCGCCACCATGCAGCCCATCATTCGTCCATTTATTAATTCATTCATTCATCCTTCCATCCATTCATCCATCCATCTGTCCATCCATTCATCCATCATTAATCATCCATCCGTCCATCTATTCATTCGTTCATTCATTCATTAATCCATTCATCCATCCATCCATTTAAAGACTGCAAACAGCAAATCTAAATGCAGTGACATAAAATTAGTTGTTAGGATTGAACTTGTAATCCACAAAAATAAACCAATTTTTGAAGACCCGGTACTGTCAGAAACAACTTAAATACCTGTGTCTACTGCTGGGTAGAACATCTTGACAGCCATGTTGGATGCTTGTTCCGCCAGGGAAGTTGGTGAGAATAGTGGTTGATGAGTTTTCTTTATGGATTCCCTTAATTCCCTTAGCTCTTGTTCCCGTCTCAGAGCTTCTTCAATCTCCTTCTCAATAAAATCTGTAGTGATTTTTCCTCTGGACTGCAGCCCAGTGGACTCTAGGCTCTTCCTCCAGGACAGAGAACATGTTTCATGAACACTTGCTGGCATTAGGGAAATAGGAGAATCCATTTTCTTCGATGAATCTAATGCTTCCTGGTCCATCGTAGTAGAAAAGGACATGGTTGGGTTTGTTTGGTAGAACCAGACTTCTTCAGGATGTTTGTGAGGACAACATGGTGGCTGGACTACAACATCTGATTCAGACTCTGATGCTGTCCTTTCTTTTGTTGTCTTGTTCTCATCGTCTGGGTCAGTGTTTCTGCCTATATTCTCTGTTTCCAGTGGAGGATCTGGGCTATCTTGTTCCTGGAGTGGTCCCCATTGCAGAGGTTTCTCACTTATCTGGTTCTCCCTCTGGAATGTGTTGTAGGAGATTAAACTTACTTTGTTCTTCTGATGGAGTCTGACAGGTGTCAGTGGCAGTTGCATGTGTTTGGTATTGATTTCAACAATTTCTCCAGGATCTTTCCTGTGCTTCAGTCCTCGAGACTGGCGCAGATCCTCCTCACGTTCCTGAGATAACCGGATCTCTCTTTCAATGGGAGTTTCTTGGAGCACTCTGGACTTGTTTGTCTGGCTCACTTGAATAATGTTTAATAGGTCGTCATCACTGGTGAAGCTTCCAGCCCCCTCCACCAAGTGCTTTGTAAAACCAGAGTCCAGAACATTGATCTTCTTTCTCAGGTTTTTCTCAGAAACTATCATATCCTTCTGAGCATGACTCAGTGGTCTCCTTTAAAAAGCAGCTGAAGACTCACTTGTTCAAGCTGGCTTTTGTATGACCTTCTTCACCTCTCTCTCTTTATTCTGCTCTCCCCACCTATTCCACCTTCCTCAGGATCCACTGGTTTCCCTCTTTCCTGTTCTCTCTCTCTCTTTCTTTACATTTTTAATCACAATTTTCTATTTTTGCTCATTTTAAATATATTTTAGACATTTTCTAAATGCTTTTTTATATTTTTACATTTTTGGTTTTTGTGAAGCGCCTCGTGATTTTTATCTTGAGAGGCGCTATAGACATGATATCTTCTTCTTCTTCGTCTGCCAGATGGGAGGAGATGGAAGAGAGTAGATGCAGGATGTGTGGCATCTTGGACAATATTCACTGCCTTCTTCCTGGTCCTGCTGATGTACAGTTCCTGGACAGAGGGCAGTTGGGCACCAATGATTTTTCCTGCTGTTTTAATAATACGCTGTAGTCTGCATTTGTCCATTTTTGTGGCTGACCCAAACCAGACAGTGATGGATGAGCAAAGTATGGATTCGACTGCAGCAGTGTAGAAGATTATCAGCAGCTCTTGTGGTAGGCCGTACTTCCTTAGTTGCCGTAAGAAATACATCCTCTGCTGAGCCTTTTTGACGATTGTTTGTTTCCCACTTCAGATCCCTGGAAATGATAGTTCCCAAGAACTTGAATGAGTCCACCATTGACACTGGGCTGTTGGATATTGTGAGGGGGGGCAGCACTAGGTACTGGGATGATAGTGGAGCTTTTGAAGCATGATGGGACCTCACACAGCTCCAGCGATCTGTTGAATATCGTTGTGAAGACAGGTGCTAGTTGGACAGCACAGGTCCTGAGGCAGGAAGGGGTTACTCCATCTGGGCCTGGTGCCTTCCGTACTTTCTGTCTCCTAAAGATGTTGCAGACATCCTCTTCCTTCACAAGGAACATAGCTTGTGATTTAAAGGGAAGAGGAGTAAGAGTTTCCAGGTGAGGGGTGGCGGCTGCAGCTATGCTGGAGTGGAGGAGGGGTGTGACTTTCCTTTCCTCAAAGCGACAGTAAAAGCCATTTAGTTCATAGCCTAGTGAACTAGACCAAATTCTTGCTTTGCAAAGTTTGGTCTAGGCATGCTCCATTGGAACCTCCGCAGCTCCTACCAGGACTCTGGCTAGCCAATCACAGCTCTTTAGAGGGGTTTCAAACACATAAAGAGCTGTGATTGGTCCATAATGGTGGGCCAATCATAGTGCTCTATCTGCTTAGTGAACAAATCACAGAGCTTTGTGGGCCAATCAGGCATGGACGTAATTTTGGGACGGGGGGGCATGTCCCCCCCCCCCACACACACACACACTTTTTCCAAAGTCTAGTTTTGACCCCTGCACTTTTTACTATCCAAAAACAATATTACGCTACATTAAATTGAATCTGGTTGAGCTCTAGGACCAAGCAGAAAACAACCGTTTGTGTTGAAGCCTGTTTCCCATTAGAGCATACTGTAAAGATACCCCCCCCCCACTTCTAAAGTGAAAATTACGTCCATGCAATCAGGGCACTCTATGTGCCTGGTGGGTGGGATGATGCAACAGAGTGACACAAGAGTATGTCACATTCATTGTCCAGTGGAATGTGGAGATCATTTGAAAGACAACGGTAGAACCCGCCCCACAACCGAGAGCCGTCAATGGAGCGTGGCCAGACCAAATAATACATTTATTTAGTCTGGCTTGCCAGGCTACTTTAGCTCCTCAGCAAGGCCATGATTAGCATCAGAAATGAAGGATGGTCTCCTGTAGTTGGTAATGTGCTGAAAGTTTCTCCACACTAATGTGGGCTTGTTGGCTGCAAACCCGGTTTTTCAGCTTTGCTGCATACTTAATCTTAGCAGCTCTGATCTCCTTAAGCCGGGCGTACACTGTGCGACTTTTTCACCTTTTTGAGCCGATTTTCCACTCGTGCGAGAATCCACGACATCGGGGCGAGTTTTGCGCCGAGCGGTCGTGTAGTGTACAGGGGGTTACGAGAGGCGATTAACACCACGTGACCAGCCGCCGATCAGCAGTCGTGAGGTCGCAGGGACTTCTGGTGTGTTTAATATTTCGCTCGTCCCTCGCGAGGGTATCGCACTGTTGAAGCGGCGCTGCGAGCAGCTGCGAGCAGCTACGATCCAAAAAGTATCAGAACCGCTCACGGCGCATGCGCGCGCAATCCTGCATCAACGCCGGCCGGTCGCTCGCTATTTCCCTAATAACACACGCTGTTCGTTTTTGTTTCTACACGTTTTTTTACTCACAAAGATTGTCAAGAAAGCGTGTTTGTCGTGTTCATGTCAAATTAAACTGATCACAAAACACAGATTCACTTTCTTTATTTCGTTTTCCTCATCTAACCCCCATAAATCCCTGTGTGCCCTCCTGCAGCACTCCCGAAGGACAACAGGCAAGACAAAAAAGTCTGACGTGTTGAGTAAAAACTGCTATTTTTAGCACATTTTTAGGGCCGACGTGTTGCTACCAGACGTACAGTGTGAGCAGTCAGGTCGCATGCGAGAACTGGGTCGTACAGTGTGAGCACATGACTCGTGAGATCTGCTCTGCGAGGAAGTCGTACAGTTTGAGCTGAAGCTGAACGCTGCGAGTGAAAAAGTCGCACAGTGTACGCCCGGCTTTAGGTGACATCTGTCGTGAGCTTGGAGTTCAATTCCACCTATATGCTGATGATTGTCAGCTGTACCTGCCTCTGAACACGTCAAGTGGTCTCTATTTCTATTCTTACAAACTGTTTGAGGGAGATCAAGACCTGGATGACTGAAAATTTTCTGAGCCTAAATGATCAGAAAACAGAGGCTGTATTGTTTGCTCCAAGCAGACATTGTGACTCTTCCCTAACTGACTGTGGGCCATTTAAGGGACAGGTGTCTACATCGGTGACTAATCTTGGTGTTAAACTGGATAGCGCCCTTAGTTTTGATACCCATATCAATGGAGTGATCTCCTCCTCCTTTTTCCACCTTCGTCGGCTGGCAAAGATCAAACCATTTCTGTCACGTCATGATCTTGAGACGGTGGTCCATGCTTTTATTACGGTGCGATTGGACTACTGCAACTCTGTTCTATTCGGTGTGAGCAAGGGCTCAATAGCCAGGTTGCAAATGGTGCAGAATGCTGCTGCCAGATTTTTAGAGGGCAGGCGCAAGTTTGACCACATTACTCCTGTCCTGGCTGCGCTTCACTGGCAGCCCGTTGATGTTAGGATTCATTTTAAAATGCTTTTACTAGTTTTTAAAACGTTAAATGGTTTAGCCCCTCCTTACTTGGTGTCACTACTTCAACCATACACCCCTTCACGGTCACTCCGCTCGGAGAACTTCATGCTCCTCTCGGTCCCAAGAACGCGCCTAAAGACATGTGGTGATAGGGCCTTTGCGGTGGCAGGTCCTAAGCTTTGGAACAAGCTTCCTCTCAGCATAAGGGCCTCCACCTCTGTTGCGGTTTTTAAGGCAAGGCTAAAAACATATTTTTATGACCTGTCTTTTAACCTTTCTAACTAGTTTTATTGTTTTACTTATAGCGATTTTACTCACTGTAGTTTTATCTGTATCGTGTGATACAATGTTTTATTTTATGGACTTAGTGTTTTATGTTTTTATTTGATCAGTGTAGCGCCTTGGTGGCATCTTTTTGCCTGTAAGGCGCGATTTATAAATAAAGTTGAGTTGAGTTGAACTGGGGGCGAATCTATGGGGCGAATGGAGACCCATCTAAAATGGCGGCCGGCCACTACGGCTGTGGCAGTTCCATTGTAACAGACCTACTTCCTAACCACAGAGCGGCATTAGCAGACACAGCTCAGGGAAAAGAGCCTCGTGACACTGAAAGAACCCGTATTTCCGCTCTGGCCGGATTCGGGTGACAGTCGTAGCGTTAGCAGCCGTTAGCTGAAGTACGGAGCTGGTTTGAGGTCCCAGCGGGTCCTGGTCGTAGTCCTGCTGTCTGACCCGACTGAAACAGTTCGGGTGCCGGTTCCGGGGACGCCATCTGAACGCTGACTAAACATTCAGTGGTTTGTTTTTGTGGCTAGCATCGGGCTAACTACTAGCTGCTTTTCGCTGATGAAAACATCGCGCGGACCTTTCGCTCAGGTGAGTCGGCCACCTCTTGAATGTTACCTGGGATGTTTACCTGCTGCGGAGACCCAGCAGAGTGTTAATGCTAGCTACGGTGTCTGTGTGGTGGACCCGTCACAGGTGAGTGTGGAACACATGGACACGTCATGTGATGACAACCATTGTTGATCCCGATGGACCATTTAGCAGTAGAAAGTCTTCAGCTGGAACTAAAGACTACTTCACCTGTCTCACCTGGCCCACCAGGCGCTCAGTAGGCCCATCATCTGTTTGCTCTAAGTGAATTGTTTATGTTTGTTTATGTTGCAGACGCTTCTATCCAAAGCGACGTACAATAATTAACCTACAGGTGTGCTGTGGTCTGTGGAGAACCCGGAGGAAATTAATACCGGCACATTTTTGGTTAATAATTCAGGATGATGGCGGGAACAAGGATTAAAACCGTTTCCAGCCCAAAACGGAAGAATAAACGGTGTGATCCTGACCCTGTCAGTGAAGGCTCCATCACAACCTGAGCAGGGTCAGGGTCAGGGTCAGGGTTAGCACAAGTCCGACGCTCCAGGCTTCTCCAGAGTGTGATCTCCTCTCTTCTGTGCATGCGGGTCTCTCTGGGGCCATGGAGCAGTCACACTGCAGAGTTTAATGTCGCATCTCAGTCACAACACAAAATAGTCAGATTTACTCAAAAAAGTGGAAATGAGCATCAAGGCCTGCACTGTGGCCCTATATATATATATATATATATATATATATATATATATATATGTTACCTCTGCTTATGACCAATAAGCTGTGATACTCTATCCAAATATAGAATATCAACCCTGCTTGCTCTTTACTGTGTTCATCAGAAGATTCTAGGATTCTTGCTTTATTAAGGAATCGTACACACTTCGTTTGATTCAGAAAAGAGTCAGGTTTATCAAAGTAAGAATTTATTTTCCCAACAATTAAAACACGACAGGTTAACTAAGCATTTACTGTGATGGATGAACCTATGTGTGAATGCGATGTTACTCCTCCTTTCCAGCGCAGCCGTCAGCAGCACGTTACTGCAGCAGCACGTCTTGCTCGCGTAAGCTGCTGCTTGGCCCTTCCCACGAGACGCGAAGCAGCAGGGGAGCAGCTGTCACCGACCGAGCTCGAAGTCACACGAGTGACTTCGTCAGTAAACACAACAACAAGCAGGAGAAAACTATAACATGGTTTGTGTTTTATGTTCTGTCCGTTTTATAATCGCCAATACAGACCTGAAAAACAAAGGAGACCGCTAGCTAGGTGATAACTTCTCATGGGGCCGCACATTTAGTACCTTTTTTTTAAAGTAAAGCAACCGGAAGGCAGTACGTTTCTTTACTCTGAAAATCTCGGGAGCTTCTCTCCATTTCCGCGTCCGATTTCCTGTCTTTCCTTCCCCAAAATTGTCGAACTTGACCCGTTTCAGAGGCGTCGCGCGTAGAAAATAGAACCGGCGCGTAAAGGCCGCGACATGCTGCTCCTGAGACGCGGCCGACTCGCACTGCTGACGGCTCCGGTGGAAAAGGTTCTGTTGACCACAGCGGTTCCTATCAGCAGCTATGACGTGCTGCTGCAGTAACGTGCTGCTGACGGCTCCGGTGGAAAGCCGGGGTTAGTCAGAACTAGGCCTGGGCGATATGGCAAAAAGAGTGATCGTGATATATTTTTCCATATCGTTCGATCTCGATTTTAATCACGATTAATTTTTATATTGTCGGTTTAAAGCAGCTTAAAATGTAAAAATAAAGAAACTAGATATTAGTTAAACCTTTTATTGACATTCTTTGTGTCTTTAATGCTATACAGGTACAAAATAAACAAATTATCTGCTTTGGGAAAATTAACATACCCTAAAATGTAAACTTTTTTATCTGTGATATGTAAATGCCGTTTATGCCATAGCTACTGGCACTTAATCTTAGCAATACTGTTTAGCTACTTTGCAGGTACAAAATCAAACAATGGAAAACAAATATAAAATATAAAAATTAGCAGTGCAGAATTCTCTAATCAAATATTTTACGCAAACAATAACACACCTAAAGATCAAAGTTTAAACTGTAAACCTGAATGCCAGTTTTGCTGTGCTATGAACTAGGGCCCGACCGATATGCTTTTTTTTGGGACCGATACCGATATAAAACTTAACAAAGGCCGATATAATGGCCGATAAATCTCCCTCACAAAAAAAGAAATGAATACAAGTGTTCTTATGATTAAACCCTTCATTCTCTGCCTTTTTGATGCTAACTTATTTCTATATTACACACCAAAGAACTGTCTCAATAACTCACTAGGGTTTCCAAGTAATGCAAATAAGATTTATTTTGCAATCTCAAAAACAACAGAACACACAAACTCAGTCAGCATAAATCTAACATTCAAGATTTAGTTTTCTGACTCTAGGGAAGTTAACTTAACTTTGTGAACGTATTCACCCTGGACAGGAAATAATAACCCTAACAAATGAGAATAAATTAAAAAGTTCCAAAACAATCATTTGTGCACTCACTTTGCACTTTAATTACAGCTGTTATGCGTGTTTTTTAACTATGAAGTCCTTCATGTAGAACGTTATTTCACAATAACTTCAAAATCAAACCAAACCAAGTCCTAGTCTTGACTCTTGGCAGCAGTTCCATTCTCTAACAAGTCCAGTCCAACGGGCAAGTTGTAATGCAGAAAGCACAACTTCTCAGCATGTTCTCCTGTTAGTGACCTTCCTTTGTCATCATCAATGTTCCCAACTGTGCTGAAAACTCTTTCGCTTGGGACTGATGAAGGTGGACAGCAGAGATGCTTCTGAGCAAGTGTTGCCAGGCTCTTGAAACGGCTGCTGTTATTTCTAATGGGCAGCTTCTTTTTCTGTCAGCGACCGCCTCCCTCATGTACCTTTCCAGTTCCTCAACAGCATCATCTGACTGTTCTTCCTCACTTGTAGAAGCTGCAAGCATGTTCTCAAATAGGCAGTCAACAATGCTTTCTGTGCCTACTCGCCTTCTTTTTGGCTCTTTCTCCTCTTCTGTTATGGTGGCCAGTTTTGTTTCTTCTGATGTTTGACTCTGCATTTCTTCTTGGAGCCAGCTTTTAGCCTGACTGAGTGTCTCTTGATCGAGGGGTCGGTGCTTGTATCTGGGATCCAGGAGGCAAGCAAGAACCACTTCTTTGGTCGGGTTTAAGTTGATAAATCTATCTTCAGACTCTGGAGCATAGCTGTTCTTGCTGTCTGGGTGCCAGCTCTATGTGGTCCCTCTGCTTGTAAAACACTCTTTAAAACACCTACAGAAGGCAAAATGCAGGAGGCAGAGGACTCTGCTTTGCTCAGTTCAAGGGTTACCTCTTCCAAGGGTTTGAGGGTTTCCACTAGTTTTCCAGCCAAGTCCCACTCATTTGGTGTTGGACACAGACGATGCCCACGGTCACTGGAATAGGCAGTAGTGACCCTCTTCTGCTCCATCATTCTCTCCATCATGTGCAACACAGCGTTCCATCTTGTTGGCACTGACTGAATAATCGAGTGAACAGGAACTCCCATCTCCTCCTGAACACCGGTGAGACGCTGCTGTGCGACTGTTGAATGACTGAAACGAGTGGCAGTTCTTTTAAATTTGGCCAGCACGTCCCCTACAGCTCGCTGAGCACTGAAGTCGTCATTTATGACCCGCTGCCGTGTGTGAGCGGTACAGCTCAGTCCAGGCATTTCAGCAAGCCTCGTGCCTTTGACCATGTTGGCTCCGCTATCCCTCAGTACCAGGTGCACTCTCTCATGGTCAATGTCCCACTCTTTTAATAAGTGAAGCAAGGTTTCACTTCTATATTCTCCTGTGTGAGAACCAAACACTGTCTTAGCGTTCAGCACTAGCTGGACTCTGCCACTTTTTGTTAATAACTGTTAAACTCATGAGGGCGTCACCAGCTCCAGACCAGCAGTCTGTAGTGAAGGCAAGGGGTCCAGAATGGTCAGCATGAAGAAGCTGTTTAACCTTGTTCACAACCTTTTGGTAAGTTACTTCCATCACCTTTGTGCGAAAACATTTTTCAGTGAATATCTTTGTTCCAGCTTTGCAACCAGTCGTTTAAACCCCACTCCCTCCACAACAGCACAGGCCAGGACATCTGTGGCAGTCGTTTCCATTATGAGCTTATCTATCTCTCTGACTTTTGGGTCATTTGGGCCCCATTTTGCTGTTCGTTCAACAACTTGTGGAAGAGTCATTTGAGTTCCTGTCCCTTTCTTTGCTTGACTTGGTGCAACTTCGTAATCATCGTTGGGCTTCTTTTTAAGATGGTGCCACAAGTTAGTTGTGTTTTTTGACTTGCTTTTGTCTCACCCTGGCCTGCTGATGACATCACCGGATGGATCTTTAGTGAAGTAGGCCCACACCTTACTACGACCCTCTTTTTCCACCTGTAACAAAGTAATCAACATAAAAGTACAGTTATATATCTGTTGATACCAAGACAAAGTAAAATACATTAAATGTGACATTTTATTCTTAAAAGTTTAAAAATTATCATGTAAATAAATGAAATCAGACATTGTGGCTCAAAACCAATGGCTCTGTTTTAGTTTGGTTCCCCAGCTGTTAAGGGGTTTCTCATTTAGTATTCAAGTCTTTTTATTCCTTCCACTGAATTTTCTACTCCGTTTGTTGTCAGGTTTTTATTTCTAGTTATTCTTCTTTCCCTTTTAGGTTTCTTTCTTCTTTAAAATTATTTTCATTTATAGTTCCTCCCATGTTCCCCTGCTGTCCTCTGCTCCCACTCACAGCTCCTCCCCATAACTAGTCCTCTGTCATCTCTCACTCCTCAGTGCATACGGTTCAGTTTCAGTACTCTGCTGGTTTCAGCGTCCTAGCTACCTGATTTTATTTCTGTCACCTGATTTTTGGCATTAAAGTACTTTTGAGTTTTACACTTTTGTGTTTGGATCCTTTCCAAAGCCGACAGTATTAGGAAAATAAAAATAAGATATGTTAAATGACTAGTATGTGGCAATGTATAAGCCTTATGTAAAATATAAGGCTGAAAAATACAGTAGATTTATTCTATTGTAGAGAGGAATGTTTATTTTCTCGTATTACCCCCCCCCCCCCCCCCCCTCTCCCAGCCAGGGAGAGGTGGGGGGACTCCCTGCACAGCGTTTCATTGCTTTGTTGCCACTTGCCAACCCCCCCTCGCCCGTCCTCAGCTGCGACAACGGTCGTGTGCCGCCGAAGCGCCGCGAAACGGCGCCTTCATTCTTCGCCCTTGTTATCCTATTCTATAGGCCACAGGTGCCGCTGAAGCGCTGCACGCTGGCGCACCAGCCCGCGTCATGCAACGCTAGTTTCGACGTCTGCACAATTTTTTCGCAAGTCGCGGGTGAACCGTGTGAGTTTGAAAAGACTGCTGAAGAAGAGCGGAGGAAATAGTCTGAGAATATTCCAGAATGTCTACCAGAAAAAGGCCAATGTTACTTACTTACTGCCCTGCATGACTAAAGGGGAAGCAGCGTGAGCTCTGCGTAGAGCGTAATGCTGCGGCAGTTTTTATTTTATTTTTTCAGGTTAACTTTTCAATACGAGGCCACGAGGCACACCATCAAATTAGGAAGCATGTTGAGGGGAAACATACTTTTGTCATTGCTGATTTTACCGTTCAACTTACCACTGACGCAACAAATATGCTTAAAACTTAAGACTTACCTCCTACTTCCTCATCACCGTCTCATCTCTGCTTGACTGCTGCTCTGCTGCATGTGTGCTGTGACGGTGGCTCCACCCCCCAAGGAGTGGAGCCCACAACATGAGTTCATAAAGCTGGCGCCATCTGCTGGATAGGTAGCGCTATATCGGCCATATCGGCCGTCTTTTTGGCCGATAGCCGATAGAGTTAATGACCCCTATATCGGCCGATAATATCGGCCGGCCGATATATCGGTCGGGCCCTAGCGTGTTGTTAGTTAGCGTCTGTGTGAATGAATGTGGAGTAAACATGTTGTATGTGTTTATATTTTTTAAAAACCTACACAGTGATCTTATTTGATCTGGTCTGAGTTTGGCTCTGCTCTCACTAGAAATGATAAAAAAAGCGCTCGCGAGCTTCTATGGAGGTGACGAGCAGCCGGCGACAAACACGTAATAGGGGCTCCACGTTTCGTGCTGTGGTCAGAAGTGATGAATTGATCAGAAATACTAGTTCTAGATCATCTTGAGGTTCGCCTTTAAGCTTTACCTCATTATTCTTAAGAACAACGAGTAAAGAGGCGATAAAAAAAAAGCAGGAGCTCATACAAAAGCCAGCTTGAACAAGTAAAGCCTGGTTCATGCTTCTCCGTCAGCTCCGCAAGGGACAGACACGCACGGATTGACGGAAACGTTTTGCTCTTTTACTTCTCCGTCTCCTGGAGAGTGTTGCAAAGCAATTGCCCGGCAGGACCACAGAGGGCGTAGCGCTGTTCTGTGGTATCCTGTCATGTATCGGTCCAAGATCGTGTGTTTATATTGTGTTTTTTGTGTTTATAAGAGACTTTTAACACGGACATATTTGTCTCTCATTCTCCCACCTCTTCATGCGCTCCCCACCTCTAAACCCACGTTTCCTGTCATTTCCGTCCACAAATAAAATGCTTGCTGCGCATCTTTACACTCCTCCAGTCACGGGAGAATTAAACGTTTATTTTAGAGTTTTATCGCGAGGTATTCTTCAAGCTTCTCCGTGTCTGCCGCTAGTTATCCTCGGCTCTCTTTGCAATGGCGGCGCTGTAAACAACAGCGGCGTCCTGACCAATCACAAGCTTGCGTAATCCGTTTCATTCGACGGATGTTTAAAAAAGTGGGCTCGACTCCGTACGTACTTGCGTGCCTGCCGGATCCCTACGCAAGGACGGATAATGGCGTTGCGTGTCTCCGCACTGACGCAGACGGAGAAGCATAAATCAGGCTTGAGTCTTCAGCTGCTTTTTAAAGGAGACCTCTGAGTCCACTGATCTCAGGCTCAGGGGGAGAGAGGTCCAGAGTCTGGGGGCCACAGCAGCAAGTGATCTGTCACCTTTGACCTTTAGCCTGGTACTGCACAACCAGTAGGCTTAGGTCACTGGACCTCAGGGACCTGCTGGGGGTGTAGGGACTCTGAAGATCACCAATGTAAGATGGTGCTTGTCCATGTAAGGCCCTATAGACCAGAACCAGGATCTTGAGATGAACCCTGAAGTTGACTGGCAGCCAGTGAAGCTGGAGGAGAAGCGGGGTGATGTGGGTGTGTTTGGAGGACTTGGTCAGAAGCCGAGCACAGGCGTTCTGAACCACCTGTAGACGGTTCAGGGAGGTTCTGCTCAGACACGTGAAAAGAGAGTTACAGTAGTCTAAGCGTGAGGAGATGAAGGTGTGGAGAACTGTCTCAAGTTCAGAGCGGGACAGAATGGGACTCAGCTTAGCAACGTTCCTGAGATGGAAGAAGGAAGAGCCAACAAGAGAACTGACATGAGAATCCAGGGTGAGAGCTGGGTCAAAGGTCACGCCAAGATTCCTGACAGAAGCAAGCTGACCAAGAGAGTCTCTGACTTTGGGAACCAGCTTGTCTGGGGCACAGATGAGGATCTCAGTCTTATCTTCATTCAGCTGAAGAAAGCTCCCACCATCCAGGTTCTGATAGAGTCTAAGCAGGTGTGTAACAGCTGCAGCTTAGACATCTCATGGGACTTAAAGGAGATGTACAGTTGGATGTCATCTGCATAAAGATGGTAGGAGATTCCTTTGAAGGAGCTCAGGATGTGCTGAAGAGGAAGCAGATAGAGGAGGAAGAGCAGAGGCCCCAGCACAGAACCTTGTGGGACACCATGGGTAAGAGAGGTGGTGGAGGACCTAAACTTGGAGACGGCCACAGAAAAGGAGCGCTCAGAGAGATAAGAGGAGAACCACTCCAGAGCAGATCCTGATAGGCCTACCCAGTCTCTCAGCCTCTCCAGTAGCAGGTGATGGTCAACAGTGTCAAAGGCTGCAGTCAGGTCCAGCAGGACCAGAACCAGAACCCTGCATCGCTGTGATTCAGAAGGTCATTAGAGACCCTAAGAAGAGCTGTTTCAGTAGAATGAGCTCTACGAAAACCTGACTGGAAGCTATCATAGATGTTATGTTCATCAAGAGCAGCTGTGAGTTGTTTAGCCACAACCTTTTCCAAGATCTTGGAGATGAACGGAAGTTTAGAGATGGGTCTGAAGCTGCTATGGAGAGAGGGGTCCAGACTCGGTTTTTTAACAAGCGGGTGGATTACAGCGTTCTTAAAGTAAGCAGGGACCTGACCAGAGACCAGAGAAGCATTAATTATAGAGAGCACGCTGGGACCGATGGACTGAAAAGCACTTTTAAACAAAGATGAGGGTAAGATGTGGAGGGGGCATGCAGAGGTCTTCATAGAGTTAACTAGTTTGGTTAACTCAGGCAAAGAAACAGGAGCAAAGCTATCTAGGATGATGGGCCTGGTTGGAGTCGGGAGAGGCGGCGATAAGGCTGAAGGAGAGATGCTAGATCTAACCTTATTGACTTTGTCCACAAAGAAAGACAGAAAGTTCTCACAGTCTGCAACAGAGTGGATGGAGGCTGTAGGAGAGGCAGGAGACACGATGCTGCCCCTTCTTCCTCCCACTCTCCTCCTCCTCCTCACAGATAAAGGAGCCCTTTTGCTGTCTGCAGCAGGGTAGTGGATCTGAGGGAGCCCAGAGGATCTTTTATTTATCAGTAGAAGCTTCTAGAGGTTCTCTGACCAACAGAACTGAAAAGGGTTTTTCTGGTGACATAATCTGTAACATCCATGGCTAAAACACTTCCACATATCAGCTGGTACCGAACACCCTGCTTCATTTACTCAGCTAGAGCTTTCCCTGTCGCTGAAGGAGGCTGACGCACTCAAACGCACCTTTTCTGTGTTTTCAACAAGAACCAACCATGCAGTTAGTGGTAGTCATGATATTCGTTTAATAATAGAATCGTAGGACCCTGAATCGAAATCGAATTGATTTGTGAGGTACACACCTCATCACCAAGTGTCTCCTGCAGACCCAGAACAGTATGAAACGGGAATATTTGGATTGAGGCTCCAGCTGTCCAAGTCCTAACGTTGAACACGATTCTGATCAGCTTCTGGGACTGCCTCAATGATTCAATAAATAATTTGTGTTCTTGTCTTTTTCAGGTGTTTGAGCTGGTCCAGGGGACAGAGGCACTCACCCGTGGACAGCATTACCCAAGCCAGGTTTGAGTCCAGCCTTTGCTTTCATGATGCAGATGACAGCCATGCTGACCTAGAACCAGATCCTGGAAAATTAGAGGCCTGCAGACATCAAGACCATGTCAGAGAACCAAGCCAACAACAATGTCCCTCTGAACAACAACAACAACATGGGTCCCAACAGGATCCGGAACCCTAACATCAACCAGAACCCGCTCATTAACGTGCGTGATCGCCTCTTCCATGCCCTCTTCTTCAAAATGGCCGTCACCTATGCACGTCTTTTTCCACCGTCATTCAGGAGAGTTTTTGAGTTCTTTGTTCTGCTCAAGGTGAGAAGTCTTTTCTGTTAGTTTCTGGGATGCATTTTCAAACTGGCTGCCACAAACGGTTGTTTTAATGGTCAACCAGTCTCTAGTTTTCTTTGGCTATAAGTCGACAAATTGTGTCGTGCATAAAGTATAGCATGTTGTACCAGGATGCAGCTGCTCTAATATACCCATCATTAGCAATGATGGCGAAGGAGTTAAGTGCTCGCACTGTAATCGAAAGGTTGCAGGTTCAAGCCCCACTCTGTCTGTAGCAGTCGTTGTGTCCTAGGGCAAGACCCACCTTGCCTGCTGGTGGTGGTCAGTGGGACCGGTGGTGCCTGTGTACGGTAGACTTGCCTCTGTCAGTGTGCCATAGGGCAGCTGTGGCTACAGTGTAGGCGATCCTGTGATTCTGCTTTTATTAGACCTCTCGGCTTGAACAGTGGGTGGGAGTCACCGGACGTGCACTGGAGGGGGTAAGATCCTACCTCTCCGGGAGGAGTTTCTGTGAGAAGCTTGGTGACCTCTTTTCCACCAGTGCCAACCTCTCCTGGGGGGTGCCTCAGGGGTCTGTCCTGGGGCCTTTGCCGTTTTCCCTTTATCTGTTGCCCCTTGGTTAAGTTTTTCAAAAGCATAAAATTAATTTCCACCTATACACCAATTATTGTCAAATTTAATTTCCCCTGAGAATGGGATCTGCAAGATCAATTAAGCCCTTACTGGATTGTCTGGAGGAGGTCAGAACATGGACGGCTTCTAGCATCTTAAGTTTTAATGAGGGTAAAACTGAGGCAATTGTTTTTAGTCCCAGTATAAATATTGCCTCTGTCTAGACGTTGACCTCTCTTTGTTGGCCCCCTTTAAAGAGCAAGTCACCCCCCAAATCAACTTTTTTTCTGATAAGCTATATAAATGCGTGTCTAATCGTGCTGCAGACACGTGTAGTCAATAGTTTTGCACTTTAGTGCATTTTAGTTAAAATTAAAATTTTCTGCCTTAAACTGTCAGTGCTGAGCCGTAGTCGGGTAAAAACTCTGCACTGCATTTGAATTTAAATCTGCCATCGCTATTGGCTAACAGGTATCCTAAAACGTTAGCTGGTACCATATGATGTCACAATGTCGTGAGCCTGTGGCTGTGTCTCAATTCAGGGTCTGCATCCTTCGAAGGACCCAGCCTACTCGGCCGACGTGGGCTGGGTCCTCCGTCGGCCGGGTAGACCGGATGTTAACGGCTGTGAATTTGGACAGGCCTAGCCTTCATGAATCCCCGCCTCTCCCTCAGCGAACGTTCCGTCGCCTAGCAACCGTGGAACCGCTGAGCAGAAGGGAGAAGGAACTTTAAACGATGGAGCTCGAAGTTTTATTTAGATCTTTAATCATTTCCTTGACTGTTGGAGAGCGAATTCAGAGAAAATACTTCGACAAGCTGAGCCTGAGCAAAGATGTGATCATAGTTTTTAATACTTTCTAAGGGTCTTCATTTGACCAAAACCCATTTATCACCTTTTAAGATTTCAAGACCCAGCGGATACCCTCTAGTAAACAATTCTCATTTGTAAACAAAATAAAATTCAAGAGTTTAATGCAGAACTGATTTTATTTAGATATTTCTTTTATATGTACATGTTTAATCTTTATTAACCATTTTGTCTAGCAAAATAAAAAGCTGTCAAAGTTCTCCCTTCTCTCCTGGGCCCTCTGCTGCTCTGCCTCCCTCTCCAGCCTCATGTCCTCCCTGATCAGATCCAGAAGCTGGTCATCGCTGGCACCTTCCCCTGGATGCCCATTTTCTCCAGAATAGTCTTAACAAACATGTAAGAAAAGAAACAGGAAGAGAAAAGAGGACAACGGGTTATTGCTTTCATGTTTTCGCAGAAAAAAATAAACTCAAACGAGTTTTTAAAATATGAGATGTTATTGTACCTCCATGCCACAGCCGCCGAATACTTTGCTCCAGTGATCATGTGGTCCATCTCCGCCCTAAGCTTAATAAATTCCCTGGTTTTCTTTTGTCCCTAAAATACAAACTTCTATTAAAATCAGGGGGAAACGTAGCGGGAGAAGGACGACACCGAGCGGCCGAACATACGAGCCGAGACCGCAATACAAGCACTTTTACTGTAACATTTCTAACTAAAATAACGTTCATGTATCACAAAAAGTCCTTAACCTAACAGTTTTCAGGTTCATACTGACATTTATATGCGCAATCCTCTCCGACAGCTCCCGCTTCACTGTCCTCCATTGTTGTTAAAAGTTCTGCCGTCCGGCCCGCAAGGCATCTTGGGAAATGTAAACCACTGAAGGATACACCGGACCCATCCTTCATGCAGGCGAAAAGAAGGCCGCATTTGAAGGAGTCTTCGAATTGGGACAGGCCTGGTCGCGGCGCTGTGACGTAACCGGCCGACGAAGGATGCAGACCCTGAATTGAAACACAGCCTGTGTGTGTGTGTGTGTGTGTGTGTGTGTGTGTGTGTGTGTGTGTGTATTTAACGGCTCCGCCCTCTAGGTCTGCTAGGCATCAGCATTTGTTGCATTTTTCAAATCTTGGTGTGAAGTTGGACGCATCACTAAACCTGGATGCTCATATTAACAGTGCAGTTCGCTGCTGCTTTTTCCATCTCCGCTGCTTATCCAGGATTAAGCCACTAGTGTCATGGGCTCACCTGGAGACAGTAGTCCATGCTTTCATCAACTCTCAATTAGATTACTGCAACTCCCTCTACCCTGGAGTTAGCAAGGCATCTCTAGCTCGGCTCCAAATGGTACAGAATGCTGCAGCTAGATTCCTGACTGGCACCAGGAGGCATGAACATATCACACCAATCTTGGCTCATCTGCATTGGCTTACAGGCTTTCTTAGAGTCAAGTTCAAGGTACTCACATTTGTCTTCAAGTCACTACAGGCCCGTGCGCCATCATACCTCTCTGACCTAATCCCCCCGTACACTTCATCACGCTCTGAGGTCATTGCAGCTGTAGTTGTTGGTCTTTCCACGTGTGCGGTGCTCGACCAGAGGTGGTTGTCAGAATACATAATATTGGAAGAGACAATTTTAAAGTGACATTGTGTAGTTTTCCTGGCAATAGGGGGCAGTACATACCTAAATCATTGCAAGCAAGCATTATTTTTGAGTTCAAATAAGACCTTACCGACGATGGGCATTAGGGTCAAAAATCCCTGGCAGTGCAACCCCCGGAAAATGACAAGAACATCAGAATCCCTTTCATCACTGGCAATGAGTGAAGAGGTGAATGTGTAAAGCAACCATGTTAATTGATGGTGAAAGTTTTGTAACCAGCTGTTACAAATCAGTGAATGCATTTTGTCCTCACAGATTTCCGTAGAAGGAAACGTGGCATTTCAAAAGTTACAGTTACTAAGTTACAGTTACACAGACATGTTGTGTACTAGATTACAGAAGACAGTTACAACACAGAGAAGCATCTCGAGGTTCTCAGTCTGGTTTTAAACGTATTCAAGGAGATAAACTGGGTTAGTTTGCAGTGTTCCTGCAGCCTGGTCCATGCAGAAGGAGCAGAGGGAACCAAAGCCCTCCAGCCCGGTTCGGTGTGAGGAAACAGACCACAGTAACAGCTGATGGTTGTACGCAGACTGAGAAGTTACACTTCTCTGTGAGATTAAGTTACAGATGTAGGAGGTAGTCATCCAAGCATGGCCGTATAAATGAAGATGTACCAATGTCCCCGGGTTAGGGTCATCCCACTGGAGAAGAAGAAGAAGAAGATATCATTTCTAAAGCGCCTCTCAAGATAAAAATCATGAGGCGCTTCACAAAAACAAAAAATGTAAAAATATAAAAAAGCATTTAGAATTTTTTTAAAAATATATTTAAAAAGAGCAAAAATAGACAATTGTGATTAAAACATGTAAAGAAAGAGAGAGAGTGAACAGGAAAGAGGGAAACCAGTGGATCCTGAGGAAGGTGGAATAGGTGGGGAGAGCAGAATAAAGAGAGAGAGGTGAAGAAGGTCATACAAAAGCCAGCTTGAACAAGTGAGTCTTCAGCTGCTTTTTAAAGGAGACCACTGAGTCCACTGATCTCAGGCTCAGGGGGAGAGAGGTCCAGAGTCTGGGGGCCACAGCAGCAGATGATCTGTCACCTTTGACCTTTAGCCTGGTGCTGCACAACCAGTAGGCTTTGATCACTGGACCTCAGGGACCTGCTGGGGGTGTAGGGACTAAAGGTTGGTTTATGCTTGACGCGTCTGTGAGGTTCGCACGGCTCCGTGCGGCAAATTTGCGTCATTTTAACAACCACGCCCCTCCACCGCGCCTCCGCACGGCCCAAACTTTCCGCACCGCGCATCTAGGAAATTTTCTAACCACGCAGACGGTCAAACACGGAAAAACATGGCGGATTGGCAAAAAACTAGTATGGCAGAGGTTGGTAAATACAGACATTTGTATGATTCAGCTCTCAGAGATCACCGTGATCAACATGTTGTTAATAATTCTTGGAGAGAAATAGCTCGCACTGTCGGAAAAGACGAGAACGCTGTTAAAATTGCTGGAATGCCATGTTGTAAACAACAGTAATTTCTACTTCTACTATGGTGTAGTGTTGTGTGCATGCCGTAGAGCTCCATGCTGCCCCCTACAGTTTGGGAGAATATTGGCTCACCGCAGAGACGAGCCGCATGAACCATAAACGCTGCGAGTTGTGAAGCGCGTTCCATCCGCGAGCCGCATCACCAAGCGGAAAGTAAATGCATCAAGCATAAACCAAGCTTAAGAAGATCGAACACTGTTCACCATGATGGGTCAGTGGTCTACAGTTAGTGATAAACCTCAGCGAGGCATGATGACCTCATCACTCTTACCCAGGGGCGGATTAGCCATCTGTGGATTCTGGAGAATCACAGGACGGCCGGTGGGCCGGCCCACCACTCCCACGCACGTTTTCAACACCTGTCCCCCCCCTCAAAGCTCCTTCATGCTCCAGCACTCTAGGTGGCAGCACTGCACCTCTAAGTTGGATGCCAGCTACATTGGCTGTGGCCTCCAGGCAAGGAGGAGAAGAAGCTGGAGAGGAGGCAAAGGTAGTAGAAAAAAACGATGCAAAACCCGGCCGCTAGTGAAAAAGAAAGAAAAGGGTGGGGCTGAGAAGGCGGGCATTAGACGCTGAAGCCTCTAAATGCCACAAATGAACCGACATATTTAGCAGCACAGCCAGCAGCAGGTTCACGGTGGAGAAGTGGGGCAGATAGCTACACAGCAACATGGCAGCAGTAATGAGGGGCAGAACGATCGCTGGTTCCACGGGCAGATCCCGGGGAAGTAAGCATGGAGTGTAAGAGGAGAGACGTTTGCAAGGATTGATGTTAGGAATTCATGTTCAGGTTGCAGTTTTATTTTAGGATAACAGCTGAAGTTCAACATTTTAGCTGTAAAAGGCCACGTGCAGTGGGGAATAAGAAGCATGTTGTGGTTTTACGTAGAAAGGTTGGTAGTAGTGTTCAGGTAATGCTCACACACACATCTTAAATACAGAAGTTACGTTTGTAATGCTGCATTTCCATTTAGATGTGGTTTATTAGTGCAGTAAGAGGGCAGCAGCAGCTCAGGTGGTAGAGCGGGTTGCCTCATGATCGGAGGGTCATGGGTTCGACTCCAGCTCCCGCCAGGGGTGTCCTGCTGTTGTGTCCTTGGGCAAGACACTTCACCCAACCTTCCTGTGTTAGTGGTGGTCAGAGGGGCCAACGGCGCCAAATGGCAGCCTCGCCTCTGTCAGACCTCCCCAGGGCGGCTGTAGCTACAAAGTAGCTTACCATCACTAGCAGTGTGTGAATGTGAGAGTGTGTGAAAGCGTCTTTGGATGTCTAGAAAAGCGCTATATAAGTTCAATGCATTATTATTATTATTATTAAGAAGATTAATTACTGCATAAATTATTAAGCTTATACAGCTTTTAATACAACATATAGTCAGCATTAGCGCTGTTGCTATAATTTTGATGACTTGACCACATATTTTTGCTGCCGAATTTCCGCTCGCCGATTACTTTGGGCTGGGCCCAGTCAAGGTCCAGGGCTGTTTTTTAGTCCCAGTGTGTCCCTGCTCTTACCAAGACACTGCTGAGGCACTCGTATACTAAAGGTCTCCATAATCCAGATTAGACAGAAATGTTGCCGTAACTAGTCGCTTTAGCCTCAAAAGAAAAAACAGTTTATTTAGGAAACAATGTCTGAGTTTAAGTTTCTTCACAAGTAAAATATAGTATAGATCTGCTCCGGGGAAGCGGCTCTCTCAAGGAACGAACTGATTTGGAGACGGCCTGCGTCCGTCAGCAGGTAGAACTGGAGGTTGTCTGGCGTCTGGGAACAGTAGTAGTGAAAACTGTGATTAGTCTGATTGTATTGCCATGTTGCTAATTCCTGGGGATGTAAAAATGGAGAGAGGCACCCCTCTCCGTATCTTTCCTGCTTTAGTTTTTCTAGTCTTTATAACGACATGTGGTCAAAAGAATTTTACATGTCAGCAAAATGGACCATGGTTGAATTTGGGTGGGCAACTACACAAGCGGAGGGGATCCGGAACTCAGATTTGGCTACAGTCAAAACCAGAGCAAACCTCATGCTAATGTCAGGATTTCTCAAAGCCTTAATGTCGATGTTTGTGTATCTATTTGATACAACATAGCGTTGTCTGTAATGTGACTGATTTACAGGGCAGGCTTGAGACGCACGCATCGAAGGATGAAAATGATGGGTTAGGATTAGGGTTAGGGTTAGGAAAACAGGAAAGGTCTCCTGATCCTTGTACTTCTACTAATATCAGGAAATATTCACCCAAATCTTGGACCACTTTTGAACTCAATAAGTTCACCTGTCGATTTCGGAGAAAGACATGGGTTGGGTTTGCTTCATTTAAATGTTCATAGCCTCCTCAAGAAATTTGATATGGTAAAGGTATGGGTTCAGCAGGCAATCCGGATGTATTGGTGTTATCTGAATCGTGGTCAAGTGGTTCTGTATCAGATCGGGAGGTTAATTTCTAAACTAGCACCATCCCTGCACCTATGGTCATGAGCTTTGGGTAATGACCGAAAGAACGAGATCGCGGATACAAGCGGCCGAAATGAGTTTCCTCCGTAGGGTGGCCGGGCTCAGCCTTAGAGATAGGGTGAGGAGCTCGGACATCCGGGAGGGACTCGGAGTAGAACCGCTGCTCCTCCGGATCGAAAGGAGCCAGTTGAGGTGGTTTGGGCATCTGGTCAGGATGCCTCCTGGACGTCTCCCTGGGGAGGTGTTTTGGGCATGTCCTGCCGGCAGGAGGCCCCCGGGTCGACCCAGGACACGTTGGAGAGGTTACATCTCCAATCTGGTCCGGGAACGCCTTGGGGTCCTGCCGGAGGAGCTGGTGGAGGTGGCCGGGGAGAGGACGGTCTGGAGCTCCCTAGTTGGGACCCGGATAAGCGGAGGAAGACGACGACGAAAACAAATGAAAGATGATGCTAATATTTGAAACAACATGAAATGGCCCACGCCTAGATACAATTAGGGTTATTTTACATGAATTATAAATATATTGTAGATAAAAATGCAAAAGTTCTATTGTTGTTCTATTTGCACTCGGCCGTGTGCTTTCATGTTATCACTATAAAAATCTCCTTGTCTTTTTACATGGTATTATTTTTAAAATGATTTAAATATAACTGAATATTTTGAGTATTTCTTGCATTAGGGTTTTTTGTTTAATTTATAGGCTTTTATTCCTTTTTCTTGCTTTTCCCTCTGCTTCTATATTGAATATAATTGCTTCTGTGACCCAAAATCCCCCACTTCAGGACAATAAAGGGATTTTCCATTCTATTCTATTGCATTCTGTTCTAGCTATGTCCGGTCAAATTAGTGGTTGAATCCTGTGTGGGGTCGTGTCAGGTCAGCAGGTGGTCCAGAACACCATGGCCTGTATGTTAGCTGTGGGTCTGAATTAGGCCCCTAACCAGAGAATAGACTCTGAGTTAAAGGAATCAAGTCACTACCTGTGTCTCAGTTGCTTTGGACATAGTTTAACTGGAGAACTGCTGTTTGTTAGGCGCTCTTCGTCCTCTTTATCCTGGCCTACATCCACATCGCCTTTTCCCGCTCCCCCATCAACTGCCTGGAGGCAGTCAGGGACCGCTGGCCTCGAGATGGCATCCTTCGTGTGGAGATCCAGAGGAATTCCAGTCGAGCTGCTGTCTTTCTTCAGCACTATGACCCCACTGGCATCCAGGAGGAGCTGGAAGCTGTGGAGGATCAAGGAAGAAGAGGAGGAATGGTGGAGGAGGCCAGCCAGACTGCACTACTGGAGGAGGAAGATGAAGATGAGGAGACATTGGAGATGTTTAACAACAGCTCAGTTCAGGTGAATTAGGATATAATTTTTCTTTGTGCCAGACTGTCCTCTTGTCACCATCATTCTGCATCTTTGCTCGTCTTCCTGCAGTTTGCACTGGACATCGAGCCTCGTCTGAAACCATCTGTGTTAGGAGGAGGTGCTGGAGGAGCACTACCAGAAGGAGTAAACAATAGCCAGGAGGTTTCCTTCAGTCACACTTCTAAAGGTATGAAGGGTTAAGGCTAGCTTATATGTCCCCATCAACTGTTGCAATCTCAAAAAAACCAAAAGTAGCTAGTTTTTACTTGCATTTACTACTAGTACTTGAACACACTGACAAACACTAGTGCATACATGAAAACACAATAACAAGCAACAACTGGCGTGGTGCTGGAGTGTCTGTGTAGAAAAACACTGATATGTATTGAATTGGTGTTTGCTGCTCCTGCTTTGCTCCAAGAGCCAGCTGCTGCGTTTGGCTCGGCTGAAGACGAGAGAGGATAGGGCCTAAACCATCTTATCCGTTAGGCTATCTTCATCAGTAGCAGGCTTTTTCTTTTATGTTTTCTTTTATGTTTCGATCATAAATCTTTTTATTGACATTTCAGATAATAAGGGTTAACAGTATACATAGCGGATTTAAACAATGATGTGAAATGCAAAAAACAGTGGTAGGCACAAAATCCTTGTAGAGTATTTGTAAAATTATAAGAAACACCCCTAAGATGAGAACAAAGACAAAAAACAATTAAAAAAAAGATCTAAATAAATAAATAAATATTTTTTAAAAAGGCAAGTAAACACAACGAATGACAATGGAAGTCAACAATGCAAGAAGTATACATTATTGTACAGCTGGATGCCAAGTTCCCCCACCCCTCAAATTACATTAACGCTAAATGGTAAATGACCTGAGTTTGATATAGCGCCTTCTAGAGTCCTGGAACCCCCCCAAGGTTAAGTTAGGGAAAAAGAGATGTGAGGGAGAAAAGTGGGTCAGTACAAGTAGGTTCAAAGGGGGCGAGAAAAGTGGCCAACAAAGGGTTCCCCAAACCTTCTCGAATCCCCCCCCCCCCCCTGGTTTTGGATGGAATATCTAATCTTTTTCAGGCTCAAGCAAGACATCACTTCCATCACCCACTGAGCATGGGTTGGCAGGGCGGCACCCCTCCACCTGAGCAGACCAGCATGCCTGGCTAAGAAGGAGGTGAATGACAGTATGTGATGAATATAGGGTTGTCACGGTATGAAAATGTAACCTCACGGTTATTGTGACCAAAATTATCACGGTTTTCGGTATTATCGCGGTATTTTTAAACGGTGTTGCATATGCTCAGAAAGCATTGATAGTCCTGTTCTACACAAACTGAAATAGTTCTGAAAAGGTTTAACAGTGTTTATTAAACCTAAAATAACACAAAGCCTTAGCAAAAGTGCAACTTTTCACAAGTAAAGGAACAAATAGCTTCTTTTTCTGGAACGTGTTACAGTAGTCAGTGCAGGTTTAAATGATACAAATCCAAACATTCAAAACATAAACAATATGTAAACAAATCAAAGAAACACCACTTGTTTTCTCATATACTTGTTTTCTTCATTATCAAAATGAAAATCTAAAACTCCAGTCCACACTTGACTTGAGTGCTGTACAAGTCAACCTTAAAAAATATGTATTTAAAATAAATAGCCACTTTAAACAAATTACTAAAATAACTACTACACTATGTAATCAAATCCAAATGTTCAAGTATAAATGGCATTGAATAAGTAAACAAATCAATGACAAGGAACTAATTGTATATTTCTCTTCATCATCAACAAATAAGATGCTTCATCCAGCAACAGGGTGTCCGTGACACGGTTTAAATGCTGGCAGAGGACGCTGCGGCTGCAGTATATAGTGACTCGTTGCATTCTCCCTCAACCAAAAGTCCTCGCGTCATGCATTTAAGCTAAAATGCTAATGTTAACCTACCTTGCACTGGCTGTAGAGACGTGGGTGATGGTCACGCAGATGTGCCATTAGATTCGAAGTGTTGCTGCCTTTTGCAGACACTTGTTTCCTGCACGTTCTGCAAACGGGATAGCCGTCTTCTATTAACTGTCCCTCAGCACTTTTCAGAAATCCAAAATATGCCCATACTTCCGATTTAGTCTTCTTTGAGGGCTGATGGATGTCCTGGGTGCTGCCGTCTCCTCCTTCGGCCATTATTTCAGCTTCAAAGTTTTGGTGCCGTTGCAAACTAAAAAGTGCGTGTGCGCGCCGCGGGAACTTCAGCAGAAGCGACGGTGGCTGGTAAGGGTCACGGCGCCGAAACCGCGGCCACGGTAAACCCACCGAGATAATTTAGTTTTTTAAAAACTGGACGGTTATTTTTATTGTCAACTTTTTTACCGGGGTTTACCGCTATACCGGTTACCGTGACAACCCTAGACGAATATCAGAAGAAACATTGTGGCTCCCTGAATAAAGACTGAACAGACCTAGAAGGGAGTCAGGGGTGATATCCACCTTAGAGACTGCTGAGAGAGTCTGAAAGACCTTCTGCCAAAATGTTCTAAGACTGAGACAGGCCCAGAAAGAGTGAATCAGCGTGTCTTCGCCTTTTCTGCATTTGTCACATTGGGAGTTCGAATCCGAATATATATGGGACAATTTGGTCTTAGGCATGTGGGCCCGATGGACCACCTTAAACTGAAATGGAGAATGGCGGGAGCATATTGAAGTAGAGTTAATGAGCTCCAGGAATGAGTCCTAGGTGTCATCGGGTAGTTGTTGGTTAGGGTCTTGCTCCCAGGCTGCCCTGATCTTAGCCGTAGATGTTTGTTTTAAGTTTATCAACTTATTATAGATTTTCGAGATCAGACCTCTTACACAAGGCTGCAAGCAAAGAATGTCATCTATTATAGAACTCTGAGGAGCCACTGGGACATCTGGTAAGTGATCTTTGAGAAAATGCCAAATTTGCAGGTATCTGAAAAAAAGTGTTCTAGGGATCCTAAATTTATTTGAAAGCTGATAAAAGTGGGCCAGGTTGTCACTGATAAATCTCTAAAATACTTTATACCCATCTCCTCCCAGTCCTTCAAGGTCTGGTCAAGGGATGATGAGGGGAAAAGGTAGTTAGATAGGATAGGGCTTTGGTGGGAAAATCTGTTTAGTTAAAAACATTTCCTGAACTGGATCCACACTTTGAGGGATTGTTGTACCACTCGGTTATTTATTGGGCAGGGTAAGGAAGTAGGGCAGGAGGCCCCCAGTAAAGCTGCTAAGGAGGTGTACTGGACTAAACTGATACCCATAGCCAACCAAGATGTGGGATTGGTCTGTCTGTTATTAGCCCAATACACCAATGGTTGAATATCTGCTGCCCAGAAAGACCAGCAGCAATTTGGTAGTGTGGCAGTGTGAGCATCCTGTTACAGTGTCCTGATTGATCGAATCCCGTCCGGGCCCTCGTTTCTCCACCTTGCCACAGTAATAGTCCTCCCTGTAAATGTATTCTGGAGACCCGAGGATGTTTGCATTTCCATATGTAGGTAGAGTCTAGGGAATCCAAGAAGGACTTTGGGATGAAGACTAGGACTGACTGAAAAAGATAAAACAATTTAGGGAGAATGTTCATTTTCACAGTTAATTCACCCAATTAAAGTGGTGGACTAGCTCAGTGGCCTAGTGGTAGAGTGTCCGCCCTGAGACTGGGAGATCAGGGTTTGATTCCTGGTCGGGCCATACCAAAGACTTTGAAAAAATGGGACCCAATACCTCCCTGCTTGACACTCGGCATTAAAGTAGCTTTCCGGAGTTTTCTACTTTCAGAAATTATGTATGACTTGTCAGAAATCCGTAAAAGTGATAATGTTATCATGTACTGTGATAAAATGTAAGCAATACATCTTTTTTTTTCTGCTAAGCACGTCCTCTGCCCTGCAGAGTTCCGTACAATATGAAACTGAGCGCCGACCAGAACTAACCAATAGCATTAGACTACCGCTTAGATGCTTCAAATTTAAGGAATAACTCGGCTGATGCAGAGCTGATGAACTTTTCACGGACAAGAAAGTCTCTAAAATATAAATGTGTGAGAACACAACATGACATGAGAATAATACTCGTAAAGCGACGTGTTTTAGCTGTTTGTCACTACAGAAGCACATTTATAACAAGAAACTTAAAGGAGCCACATACTTTTTGTGTGATATGCTTGTCGGCCACTAGATGGTGCCATCAGATAAGAGAAATACTCTGGTAAGAGACTATAAAGGGGTTGAATTGGGGGGTTAAACCACCAAATGGTTCCTGATCACGGCTTTGTCTACAGCTCACCGCTCCCCCAGGGGATGGGTCAAATGCGGAGAATAAATTTCGCACACACATCAGTGTGTGTGACAACTAATGGGACTTTAACTTTGACATTGGATAATGGTGACCACACTAATAGGTTTTGCTTGATCTGATTTAAAAGTTTTCTGTTTCAATGTGATAGTCACACCAAGGTTGGTAAACCTTTCCTCTGCTAGCTTAAAGGGGAAGGAGGAGCGCTAGGTTATTTAAGGGGAATAGTTCACTTTTGGATAGGTTCAGCTTGTAGCCAAAGAATGTACTGAATGCAGAGAGCAAGGATGAAATGTTAGGGAGGGTGGCGAGGGGATCTGAAATGAAAAGCAGTAAGTCATTCGCATATAATTCCAGTTTGTGTTCAACCTGGTCTGTCTGGATACCGGACATGGATGGGCTGTTATGGAGTAGCGCTGCGAGGGTTTCTATTGCTATGTTAAATAGTAAGGGGCTGAGGACAGCCTTGATGCGTGCCTCCGTGTAAGTGCATAGGTTTGGATCTTTGCTGGTTAGTAAGAACACAGGCAGTGGGGCAGAGAAGTCTTATCCATGATCTGAAATTGCTCCCAAAGCAGAATTTTTCCAAAGCCTTAAGTAAATAGGTCCACTTGACACAGTCAAAGGCTTTTTCCGCATTGAGGGAGGGGAGGCTTTCTGGCACAGTGTTTGGGGAAGTGTCTAAGATATTTAGTAGTCTACGTATATTAAAAAAGGAATGCCGGTTTTTCATGAACTCCATTTGATCCTCATTAATATTTGATGGCAGGTATTTCTCCGGTCTGTGAGCTAAAATTTTGGCTAGGATTTTAAGATCAACATTTAGTAAAGAATGTGCCTATAAGATGAACATTATTTTCAGTCTGTGTCTTTTTTAGGATGAGGGTTAT